AGACTGATTGGATCGATAACGTAAAAAAATTCGTTTCTTTAATTTTACGAACAAATTCTGAAAACGAGTATATATATATATATATATATATATATATATATATATATATATATATATACACAGAGAGGGAGAGAGAGACAGTTTATCTAGAAAAACTCTTAGAGAGGGTAAACTCCATGGTATTCAACAACTACTTTCGCTTGTTTATAAGCACTCGAAATTTGTAGAAATTATCCTAACAATCTATTTTCCATTGTCATGATGTATTAGTTAATGAACTAGTAAAATATTTACTCGTCCTGGGTAAGACGATAAACTACATCAAACAGCAAGGCCACTGATCAGGAGGTTTCTCAGGAACTTAGAACCACCTCTTAGTTACTGGTGTTCGTCGGTCTACCCTGACACGGGGTTGTAAGCACCTATTAGGGTCCCAGGTATTGGCAGATACTTGACCCCCAAACTTGGGTCGAAACACTATGAAAGTGTAAAAATAGAATTTAATACCAGCAGTATATTTCTGTAAAAGGTTATTTGCCAGCTATGAATGTTTGAAGAAAAAAAATTACCACGATCAATCCATTTTTGAAAAAAAAAAAAAAAAATCCACTCCCAGCAATAAAAAAATCTTGTCGGCATTAAATAACCTGTTGAGGTTGATATGCCGTAAAACAAACCACACCAAAATCTATGCAAATTAGCTAAATTGAGAATAACAACCTTGCTGACATTGGAAAATCTTATTTGTGGAACCGTTGCTTTTAAGACTTTAGGATGGATATATCATAGGCATTAGTGGGAAAAATTTTCAGCTAAGTTCTATGCTAATAGTGAGTTCAAAGCGTAGCTTAGACGCGGCACAAAGCCGAAAGTATGGGACACCCAATGAGGATCGACCTCACTATTAAGACGTAATTGTTCTAGCGAGACAGGCTTGCTAACCGTTACATCGCATCATGGCGCCCAATAGTGATTTTCCAGGCGTAGCTTAAATGTGGCACAAGGCCGAAAGTATGAGGTACCGAGTGAGGATCGAACTCTCTACTCAGTCGTAGTTCTTCTAGGGAGATAAGCTTGAAGTGCCCAAGTTTTATGCTAAATAGTTTTTTCTTTCGCACCTCTCGTTTGTAGAACTCACTACCAGCCTATTGCTTTCCAGTCAACTTACATTTTCAAAAGGTTCAACACAATTCCAATCCTTCTCTTCTGTCTTCTTCATTCATGTTCTTTTATGGTTCCCTCTCCTTAATAGTGATTATTCTCTCATATTCTCTAAAAATCCGTAGCCTTTTAGGTCTTAGTAGATTTATTGCTTTGCTTGGGGTGAAATGATTAAAAAAAAATGATGTAGAATTTAATGTCATATTCCCCCTAAAACAGTTGCTTCTCCCACTTTAGGATGGCTAAATCCCTGTCATTAATGGCAATCATTTTCAGTTAAGTTCTATACTAACAGTTTCTACCACCGCACTTCTCGCTTGTGGAACTTTCTTCCGGGTCCCAGTCAAAGTTATCTTCTCTCTTCTTAATTCTTGTTCTTTTATTATCCTTTCTCCTTAATTTTTTTATCATACGTTCTAACATCTAGTAACCCTTTGCGACTTAGTGGCTTTATTACCATGCTTTCGGTGTAATGTTTTTTTTTTCACATATATATATATATATAACGCTATTCACATTAATTTAAACATTTGGAATAGCTAATTCACCTTTTAATTGTAGAATATTGGTTAGCTTGCCATTGGTCTAACACACAAGTATGCATGTGTAGCCAAAGCTAAAACTGACTTGAGTCATTTCATTGAAAAATATATGGGTGAATAAAGACCACTCATGCAAATGTATTGGGCAGGTCCATTCTAGCAAAATGGACCAACCTAACTGGTGTATTAGGCACTCTCCTATAAAATGAGGTAAAATCAGCTGGCTTGCTTTACACGGAAACAGAAGAAGGCAGCCATGTTGGCAGGTAAGTCACTTGACTTCTACATTAATAAAAAAAAAATGAAAGTTTTTCAGATCTTATCGGGAAGTGCTGGAGAAATAGTTATGTTTTTGCTCAAAAATTCTTCCATACAGTTGTTCTATATACAATATGTCCAGCCGCATGTATCCATGAACCGAAGATTAAAAGGTTCTCATTTTGAAGCAATTCCACAAGAAGGCTTATATAGTCTTCAGTTAAACATTTCTACGGTGTATGCCCGACATTACAGGTACATTTTGGAATCGTTTGCATTTAACTACCCGAAAACCTTTCTTAGAGGAGTCCTAGAGATAATATAATGAAGCATAATGCCATACCAATCTAAGTATTAATGATGACGAACTTAAACACAGACAAATAATTACGAAAATATTTTACAACTTATACCAAAGAAATATTCTACTTTACAATACCAGGAATTAATATATAAAATGCGAACGTGCATGAGTGACAGACTTCAAAATATTAAAGAAAATTGCCTAATTTAAAAAAAATAAATATAACAGAAATTTATATATATAAATGTTGCAGCATACCTACGGTCGATAATGGTTATGCCTCCATTCACATAATGACAGTAGTAAATACTGTATGTTGGTCTGCAGTTGGAGATTCGTCCAGCAGTGCTGGTTAAACTACCTATGTCCGGGAAGAGAGGATCCTCAGACGTGGCTATGTCGAAGGTCAGAGTCTCGTCTCGGGGAAACAGCTATCCGACCCCGTTTTTATGCGGGGTGTATGTGGAATTTTTGTCCGAGCCTACAGACTCGGATACCCCACATTAAATTAGGCCCTTTGCCACACCTTACTTGTTCTTGTCCTAAGTATTATCGTTCATTAGCAACCTTCGTGTGATTATTCTATTCTGTAACCTTCCCTAGGTTACAACAATAACAGAGATCGAATGATTTTTTTTCTTCGATCGAATGATTTGTTTTCTTCGATCGAATGATTTGTTGTTATTGAACTGCCAAAAGATATTTTGGGATATAAATATTATGTTAACATGTTTTGGGAAACAATGGTATTACCAGATACAAGACTCAGTGTTTAATCCATAGCTGGGAGAAAGAGATAGCAAAAAATCTACAGAAAGATATGAAGCTAAATAAGAGTAATGAATTCGACTGGAATTCGAACTTGCCTCTCTGCATCCACACATTCACAAAGACAGAAAAGAGAGAAAGATAATGTGAAATGGAAGTTATCTGTCGAATTGAAAAGGGTCACTGTAGATATCGTGAAAGTCAGTATTTATTAATCTTATTCTCACTTGATGCTCAATAATATGGCCAAATCACGTTGAAAGACCCGTTCTCGTGCGATCACCAAAGTTTAGCAACGTCGAGGCTGGTCCGTACCGAGAAAGGCAACAGCTTGAAAATACCAGGTGGTCTAAGATTGGGTGTGCGGGTGGTGTAATAGATAATTGCTCGGAATTGTTAATCGGAGAGCAGAGTTCCAATTCGGTTCGTTATATTCACTTTTGCGCAAATTCCTTTGGGGAAATCCAACTCCTCTCTCTCCCCAGCTATGGGTTAATTAGCATGTTTATTATACAAATTTTTAAATATTTTCTGGCCTTAAATAACCTTAAAAGAGTTGAGACGTCCTAGAAAACGAATCAATATAGTGCTGGTAGCAAATCAATATTGAATATTGTTAGTGTGAATTTCACGTGCATACGTGTGCCAGATACATCGAGAATATTCAGGCACTTGGAAGAAGAACATTGATTTCACTTGGATGATTGCGGAGATCACATGACATTGGCATTCTCAGTTTAAGGACAGCAATCACAGTCAGCGCCCAGTAAACACTGTATACCTTTGTTGTTTGAAGAAATGCCAATCAAAGATTTTCGATCTACGACAAAAGGATATGAAGACAGAACAAAACAACAGTTTTTTTTAACAATGTCTACCTTATGTTATGTTTGAATTTGTTTTGTTTCTCGTCTGTTTTCAGTGCGGCAGCGTATTAATCAGTTGAGAAACCTGAAAGTGTTTAGAAAACTGCTAGAAAAATGACGGAAAAAAGGGTTGGCAGAATTGAAAGGGAAAATAATTGTGTAAATAAAAAATGTAGTCGATGAAAGAAATAGGGAAAGCGAAATACGTTGTAAACAAAGGAGGAGAGGATGTTAAGTAAAGAAGGGGAAGGAAGGAAGGAAACGAGAAGGAGTATAGTACAGAAAAGAAGGACAAGATAGGCTGGAGAAGAGAAGGTGTAGAAGAGGAGAGAGGAGAAGGTGTCAAGAGGAAGAGAAGAGAAGGTGTCAAGGGGAAAAGATGTCAAGAGGAAGAGAAGAGAAGGTGTCAAGAGGAAAAGATGTCGAAGAGAAGAGGAGGTGTCAAGAGGAAGAGGTGTCAAGGGGAAGAGAAGAGAAGATGTCAAGAGGAAAAGGTGTCAAGGGGAAGAGAAGAGAAGGTGTCAAGAGGAAAAGATGTCAAGGGGAAGAGAAGAGAAGGTGTCAAGAGGAAGAGAAGAGAAGGTGTCAAGAGGAAGAGGTGTCAAGAGAGGGAAGGGAAGAGAAGAGAAATGTGTCAAGGGGAAAAAGATGTCAAGAGGAAGAGAAGAGAATGTGTCAAGGAAAAAGAGAAGAGAAGGTGTCAAGGGGAAAAGATGTCAAGAGGAAGAGAAGAGAAGGTGTCAAGGGGAAGAGAAGAGAAGGTGTCAAGAGGAAGAGATTTGTCAAGAGGAAGAGGTGTCAAGAGGAAAAGATGTCAAGGGGAAGAGAAGAGAATGTGTCAAGAAGAGAAGGTGTCAAGAGGAAAAGATGTCAAGGGGAAGAGAAGGTGTCAAGAGGAAAAGATGTCAAGAGGAAGAGAAGAGAAGGTGTCAAGAGGAAGAGAAGAGAAGGTGTCAAGGGGAAGAGAAGAGAAGGTGTCAAGGGGAAAAGATGTCAAGAGGAAGAGAAGAGAAGGTGTCAAGAGGAGAAAAAAGATGTCAAGGGAAAGAGAAGAGAAGGTGTCAAGAGGAAAAAGATGTCAAGGGAAGAGAAGAGAAGGTGTCAAGGAGGAAGAGAAGGTGTCAAGGGGAAGAGAAGAAAAGAGAAGAAAAGGTCAAGGGGAAGAGAAGAGAAGGTGTCAAGAGGAAAAGATGTCAAGACGAAGAGAAGAGAAGGTGTCAAGAGGAAGAGAGGAGAATGTTTAAAGAAGGAGAGGAGAAGTTGAAAAGAGAAGAATGAGTAAAGAAGAGAATGTTTTATAAAGAGAAGCGGGCAAGCTGTAAAGAAATAATGTGTGTATATGGGAAGATGTAACGATGTTTAGAAAAGAATCAGATGAAAAGTTTAGATGTAAACTCAAGAACAGAATGAAGAAGTCGGGAAGAGAATTAATGTATAAAGTAGCGTCTTTAAATGTCTTTGAATCGACAGGAGCATCTGTGGCATTTAAATATATTTCAGGTCTTTACGGATAGACAAAAAATAATGGAAAACTTTAAAATGGTCAAAGTAACTCAGAATCGATAATAGACATATAGTGAGATAAGTCTGACAGATTGCAAATCAGCAACATGGAATATGAAAATAATGAGTCGAGTATGGAACAAACATGAAAATAGAATCAATAACTCATTTAAAAATTTCTATATTGTAAAAAAAAAAACATTTACGTAAATTTTGTAAGTAAAATATAGGAAGAAGTTATGAAAGAGGAAGGCGAACAAAAAATAACAGGAAAAAGGATGATATGCGTATAATGAAGGCTTCGAATAGATTAAGAAAAACTCGAAGAAAACATTAATAAAAGAAAGGCAATGAGAGTAAAACAATATGGCTGGGATTGATGAAGAAATCAAAAAGCTTTGAAGGAGAAACTGAATGCAAGGTTAAATTCTATAGCACCATGGTTTAAGTTTAAATTGACGCTTTCTTTGGTGTTCATGTTATGATCATTTTGCCATCCAATCCTATTCTCTTGATTTAAGGTAAAAATTTGAAAATTTACTAACATATTTCAGTGAAAGTTTTCATTATCTAAACTAATACTTTTTTTTTAATTATACTCTAGATTTATAGTAAAAAATAATCTAATTTAAACATTCGCCAAGAGGATAGGTGGTTAAATGCGACAGTAAGAGAAGCATTTTGAGAGAGAGAGAGAGGCACGTGAAAGAGAGAGAAGTATGAGAAAGGAGAAGCACGCGAAAGTAAATCATGTGAAAGGGATGCACTTTGGGAAAGAAAAAAAAAGAGAAAATACGAGAGAGAGAAAGAAAAGGAGAACGAGAGAGAGAAAGAAGTGGAAGAGAGAGAGTAAAAAAGAGAGAAATAAAGAAGAGGAAGAGAGAGAGAGAAAAAAAACGACGAGAGAGAGAAAAAAAACGACGAAAGAGAGAGAGAGAGAAAACGACGAGAGAGAGAGAGAGAAAACGACGAGAGAGAGAGAAAAAAAACGACGAGAGAGAGAGAGAAAACGAAGAGAGAGAGAGAAAAAGGAGAGAGAGAGAGAGAGAAAGAGAGAGAAAGAGAGAGAGAGAGAAAAAACTACGAAAGAGAGAGAGAGAGAAAACGACGAAAGAGAGAGAGAGAGAAAACGACGAAAGAGAGAGAGAGAAAACGACGAAAGAGAGAGAGCGAGAGAGAAAACGACGAAAGAGAGAGAGAGAGAAAACGACGAAAGAGAGAGAGAGAAAACGACGAGAAAGAGAGAGAGAGAAAACGACGAGAGAGAGAGAGAGAAAACGACGAGAAAGAGAGTGAGAGAAACCGACGAGAAAGAGAGTGAGAGAAACCGACGAGAAAGAGAGTGAGAGAAACCGACGAGAAAGAGAGAGTGCGAGAAACCGACGAGAAAGAAAAGAGGAGAGAAACTGACGAGAAGAGAGAGGAGAGAAACGACGACGAGAAAGAGAGGAGAGAGAGAGAGAGAACCACGAGAAAGAGAGAGAAAGAGAACCACGAAAGAGAGAGAAAACCACGAAAGAGAAAGAGAGAGAAAACGAAGAAAGAGAGAGAGAGAGAAAGACAAGTAGCAGAGCGAGAGAGAAAGACAAGTAACAGAGCGAGAGAGAATGAGAAGCGAAAGAGAAAGAGAGAAAAGTGAAAGTGAAAAGAGAAAGAGAAAAAGAGAAAGAGAAAAAGAGAAAGAGAAAAAGAGAAAGAGAAAAAGAGAAAGAGAAAGAGAAAAAGAGAAAGAGAACGACGTGAAAGAGAACGCGGGGTATGAGATTGAAAGTTGTGAGAGATAATGTGAAACATGCGAAAGAGAAATAGAAACATGAGAGAGAGAAAGAGAAGTGTGTAAAAGCGAGAGAGAAAAAAAGAAAAAAGAACTATGTGAAAGAGAAAAGGAAAAAAGAGTGAAAGAGAAAGAAAAGCTCTTCAGAAAAAAAAGAAAAAAGAGTAAGAGAATCATGTGAATGAGAAAAGGAAACATCAAAGAGAAAGGGTAGCATGTGTGTAAAAGAGACTGAGAAAGAGAAGGATGCACAAGCGAAAGAGAAGCATAAGAGAGAGAAAGAGAAGTATAAGAGAGAGAAAGAGAAGCATAAGACAGAGAAAGAGAAAGTGATGCATCTGATAGAGAAAGAGAAGGAAGGAAAACACAAAAATGAAAATGAATGAGGAATCATAATTTGGAAAATAAAACCGAAAGAAAGAAAAAGACTGAATAGAAAATTTAAATATCTACATCTGTTGTCGGATGTGTGTGTGCGGTAATGAATAATTAATCGGAATTGTTCATCGGAGAACTGAGTTCCAATTCCAGTCGGGTTCGTAAAATTCAACTTACGCGTAAATATTCTTGGGAAAGGTAGGAATCTACCTCTCCTCATCCCAACTATGGGTTAATTAAGAAGACTTTTCACGAAATCTTTATCATCTCCTCACAAAATAAATAAATAAAAAAAAATAGAATAAAATAAAATAAATAAATAAAAAAACGAATCACCATCTTAGAATATTTCCTGGTTTTAAATAACGGGTTGATGAGCCGTAGAAAAATCAATCGATCAATAATAAATAATTTGTTCATACTAATCTACCTATATATTCCTGCTAATCTATATATCTATCTATTCTGGGAGAAGTTTGGAATATGACAGAAGGAGCTGTCATGGTTTGAAAAAAAAAATACTTCGAATATGCAAAGAAAAAGAATAGATGCGTAAACATATAAAAAGAAAGAAAAATGATAATTAAATACGAGAGAAAGAGAGAAGAAAAAACCCGTAAAGAATAAAATTGAATGTGTCGTCACGATTAAGATTGCAAGGGTAGAAAAGGTTACTTGTGTGTGTGTGTGTGTGTGTACGCACACATCTGAAAATTTGAAAAGATTAGGAATTAAAAAAAAAAAGAAAAGAAATAGAAAAAGAAATGAATCGACCAGAATGACATTTTTCCCCTTCGGGATGTCGGGAATGTTTGAAAGACACACTTCAACAAACTAGGACAATCTGATAAAAGTTCACAAAATATTCCAGGGCGAGAGGGGAGGAAGACATTCTGAAGAAACAAGTAAATATATATATATATATATATATATATATATATATATATATATATAATAATAAATAAAGAAAAAAGCAACTATTGCAACGAGAACAGTCACTCCGGCACACAAGTGCTCTGTATTTGCGTAACGGACAATATCGACGATAAAATACGGAGAAATCTGTTTGAATTCACATGCGCGCCGATATCCCGGAGCCAGTTCTTCCCTGTTCTTTCCCGCCATTGTTTAGGAGACGTCCACGTCGTTTGCTATGCCGTTCTTTCAATCTTTAATAAGGACAGGCAATGTTGTTTCGGGCAGCGAATGGTTGTCTTGAGCATTTTATCAACCACTTCTTTCTCTCTCGCTCGCACAAATAAATAATTATTTAATAACATAATTCGAACTCTTTCTCATAGGCGTCACAAAATTAACTATGGCTTAAGACGGTTGGAATGGTAATATTTTACTATTTATATCTCCAACGAATGTCTTTGATCTGACCTTTCTCCGTTTATTTTGTTTATGATGTGATACAAGCAGATGAAAACTCGAGTGGCTCTTTTTTTTTGTGTGATTTATCGCTTAAAATAATTCTGGGACAATCCATCTGAAAATAGGCTGATATTTGAGTTATTTCAAAAATTCAATTTAATAAACCGCCTCAATTTCTTAAGAATATAGACAATTATATCGACAGGACTACCGAAGATCCTAACGGGTCGAAAGGGCACTCCATGTAACTGTAACAATAGCAGAAGTGGTGCGGCAAGAGCAGATTGAATAGTGCCTTATAAACGCAAATCATTCTCAGACTCTCGAAATATAAATATCAGTTTTGTTCCGTATCCAAACGTAAATAAAGCAATTTCTAAAGAAGTAATGGATTTGTTTTATTAATCCGGCAGATGTTATTACTTAAATGTTGTTTTTAGTGGACACCCATATTTGAGTAGACGTTCTGTTTATTAAAGAGTATATCTTATTTTTTCGTCTGTCCGAAACTTACCAGAAAACGCATAATTTTTCTTTAGTAAGTTATCTCAAATATTCAGGCCAGTAAACGAAAATAAATAAAATTACTATTTAGGAATAAAACGGAGCGTTTACTCAAATATGGGTACCCTCTAAAAATAAAGTAATAATACACATACACACACACACATATATATATATATATATATATATATATATATATATGAGAGGGAGAGAGTGAGAGATCATACTCGTTACCAGGTGCTCACATTACATTTATTAATGGAAGATAGTGTTTCACAAAATTTCTTCATCTTAGTGCAGAAAGGGGTCTTATGCCTTGGCTAGCAACCAATATAATAGAAGGTCAACTCTTAATTCAAAACCTGCTACGGATTTAGAAAGCCGTTGAAACAAATCGATGGCCTGAAGATAGCGGTCACATAAGAAACAGACTGTCGCCACAATATGCTGTCATCAGTTTCCAGACACCTTATATTTAAAACACACTATCCCGGAAATTGCGCATATTTACCCCATAATTATTGCACATTATATATATATATATATATATATATATATATATATATATATATATATATATATATATTAGTGTGTGTGAGCGTGCGTGTGTGTAAATATATAGAAAAATAAGAAAGAACCATTAGGGTAATAATCCGAAGTTCTTTAGTATTTTGGGTTTTATTTAAAAAAAAAAAAAACAGTGCTCCATACCTAAGTAGAGCCTAAATTATAATTATTTAAAAAAAAAATATGATTCCATCGTTACATAGCAGTTTTCATGTTTCAAAACATAAGTTAAAAACTTCAATTTGATTATAAAAATTAAAAAAAAAAATTATAATTAAATTGAAGTTTTAAGGTTCTGTTTTTTTTCCTGCTTCTGTAGCGATGAAATCATATTTTTTTTAAATAATTTATTTATATATATATATATATATATGTAAAGAATGTTCTAATAATTTGGATCGATTTTAAATTTGAATTAAGTTTATTTTTTTTTCTTTTCCTTTCAGATTTGGCGGTCATCTGGGCTATATTATTTTTCACGCATCATTACCATGACTTAAATAACATGATCCAATAGAAAAATAAGTAAATGTTTACCAATAAAACTGATTTATTTACTGGTGACTTCGATCCTTTTTATATATAACGAAAACAATAAAACAATTACTGAAAGTAGAACCCTTTATTAAACTAAACTAAAAACCACAAAGACAATTTCACAAATAATCCAGCATGTGTACTAATAAATCTCACACACACACAAAAAAAACATGCGAAAAAACATGCCCAAAATTATGGGACATAGTAAACATAAACCAATGGAAAATTAAAAAGAAGAAACCAATAATTAATTTAACAAGTTCACCAAAACTGTTCCTTCATACTAAACATACATGATTCTTTTCACATCCGTCAATGAAAATACACTAAACAATGACATGGCAAAACAATACATAAACATCTCAAACGAACATCCAAATATTATATATTACAGAATGTAAGTACTATACTACGACAACAAAATGTGAACAAAAAATGCAGCATCAATAGCAACAACAATACTAATATCGACGAAATATTTGACGTAACAATAGGGATCTATGACGGCACATTTCATGTGAACTCATAAGCGTGTACATCAATAAATTAACACACATCATTAATCAAAAAGACTTATATATGGATAACAGCCTAATAATCATAAGAACTTGTAACGGAAGAACTCCAGAAATTATAAGAAAACCGATCTAAGAAACCTTCAAAATATTAGAATTTAGACATTCAATCTATCCTAAAATAGTAAACTTCTTAGATAAAACGTTCAATCTAAGCAACAAATACAAACATGCAGAAAAGCAAACAAGTTTTATAAACATAAAAACTTCAATCATCTTCCTAATGTATTCAAGCACATACACTAAATATACTAACAAATTCCAGTAATATGAAAATATTCAGCAAATAAATAAAAAAATAAACAGCATTAAGAAATAGTGTTTATCCGAACAAACCGGAATATACAAATGAAAACAAACCAAGCAAGCACAATAGTAAAAGAAACGTAATCTGGTGCAACCTCGCTTACAATAAAATCAAAAATAGGAAAAATATTCAAAATAATTGAAAAACATTTCCCCCCACAAAAAAAAAAACTTTCAAAAATCATCAACAAAACAACAGTAAAAATCATTTACAGCTGCAATGATAATATTAAAAAAAAATTAATCAAACACGATAAAGAAATACTCAATAACAACAAATGCAATTCGTGAAATAAAAACAATTGCGCACTTAACAACAAATGCCTAATCAACAACATAATATACAAAGCCGTCGTAACAAACAAAACAAAAGCAGTAGAAAAAAACTACATTGGAACTACATGAACAACTTTTAAAGAAAGATTTAATAATCATCAATCCTCATTTAAAACAAAAGATACGAAAACAACACAAAACGATCAAAATACATATGGAACCGGGAACAAAATAACATATTTAGCAACATTAAGTGGAAAACTATGAAAAAAGCAGCCACACATAGTAGCAACAACACAAAATGTAATTTGTGCCTAATGGAAAAAATGAATAATCTTCATCTTCCAGAATGAAATAATGGGAAAATACAAAAAAGTTAAATAATCATCTACTCTGCAACGTAAATGCTACTATAAAAAGCAAACAATACAAAATTCAACCCCATCACAAACTATCATAATTAACATCTAATCGATGCCAATCCCAAATACAATCCACCCAAAAAGGAGCAATCACAATATCAACAAATAGTAAACAGCAAAATAACTCACAGCCATACCCGACAGAACACACACAAAACCCAACATACAAATCCCTACAACTACACAACTTATAAAACGCAAAAAGACAAAAAACAACAAAACACAGACGCACCAACAAACGCACTTCACAACACCCACATTATTAAAATAAATAAAATAACCAAAGAAATAAATTACCACATAAATTTACAGACAAGTATAAAAATTCAACCATAAAATTAAACTAAAATGGTTAAAACACTAACAGAGTTAAGAAGCATACTAAACATAAATTAATGAAAAAAATACAAAAGAAGCACCTAATTGGCTTTTTTTCTTTCCTACAACTA